CCTGAAAGCGTCTCCCATGTCTGGGATAACTTGTATCCCTGAAACTGCACAGCTCAACCTTCCTGGCTCAAGTCCTGGTGGGACATCTCCTATGGAAGTTTGTTCATTCTTCTGGCAGCTCATGAAATAGTTAATATTCTTGGTCAACACCGTAATGCACATTAATTGTTTTTGCAGCTTCCTTATTCATTGCTCACCTTTTTCACACAGAGGAGGCAACTGAGAATACCGTGACCTGTCAGGATTATTGTAATGCTCTAAATGACATCTTTTCCCTTTAGCACATTATTTTTTTTATCTTGCATTTTTTAAAAATCATTTTATTGGTGACTCGTACAACTCTTATCACAATCCATACAACCATCCATTGTATCAAGCACATTTGTACATTTGTTGTCCTCATCATTCTCAAAACATCTGCTTTCTACTTGAGCCCTTGGTATCAGCTCCTCATTTTCCCCCTCCCTCCCCACTCACGAACCCTTGATAATTTATAAATTATTATTATTTTGTCATATCTTACACTGTCCGACATCTCCCTTCACCCACTTTTCTGTTGTCCATCCCCCAGGGAGGAGGGTATATGTAGATCCTTGTAATCGGTTCCCTCTTTCCAACCCACTTTCCCTCCACCCTCCCGACATTACCACTCTCACCACTGGTCCTGAAGGGATCATCTGCACTTTTAAGAAGTCATTTGCAGCAGATTTCCCCAATGCAATATGTCCCTTGATCTTGTGATTGCTGCTTCTCTGGACAATGATTATGGGTAAAATGAAATCCTTGGCAACTTCAGTCTTTGCTCCATGTAACAGTATGTTGCTTATTGGTGTAGTTGTAAGGATGTTTGGTGTGATGGCTGTATTATTTGACCATCAATAAATGTTTCAGTCCCTCTGTTATTTTAGCAAGTAAGTTTGGGCCATCTGAATATCACAGTGTATTAATGAGTTTTCCTTCAACCTTGATGTGGTATTCTTCTTTATATAATCCAGCTGCTCAGATTATTTGTATATTTTGATCTTTTGCTTAATAAGGATTCCTATGATATTTATAGTAATACTTTTTGACTTAACACACAGAGAACAAATATTTATAGTAAACAAAAGTATCAAGATAGGACTTTGGGGTTCTTGACATATACTCTATCTAGTTCTATCCACTTCTGAAAATGGTGCTTTTGTCTTTCTAACCCATCCCTAAAGAACGTGTGCTCTTCCGTTTACACCATGTCCACACAGTAGTAGTTGGCATCCTCTGGAAGCAAATCATGTTCCTTTTAAATGTTCTGAGTTGGGGGAACAAAAAGAAGTCTGAAGAGACAATATTACGGCTGTAGGATCAATGAGATTAGGTTTCCCAATTCAATTCTGATTAGGATGGCCCTTGGTACACTTAAGGAATGAACAAATGTATTGTCATGATGGGGGGGTGGGGTGTGACTCAGAATAACTTTCCTGACCTTTTCTTCACCAATGCTATTTTCAATATCTTTTTTCAATATTCTTAAAACTTCTTCATAATAAGCTCCAATGAGCATGCTCTATCCTTTGAGAAAAATCTATCAAGATCACTATTTTAGAGTCCTTTAAAATAGCCACATACCATCTGAGCTGACACTGCTTTGAATTGAACTGACCCCACAAATCCCCTCAGAAGCCATTGGTGTTTTTTCTTTTATTCCATAAGGCACTTAATGAGACAGGACAAGTGTGTTGCTGAGAGAATTTGTCTGCAGCCATCCACTGATTGCAAACTTGTGCTGAAACACATTTTGCTTGTAATAAATCTGTGTATGTCTGAACTGGAACTCTAGTACTAATACTTTTTAAGTACCCTTGTATATATTTAAAAAACACATTTTATCATAATCAAAAAAGGTGCTGAGTTAAAATGAAATGATACTTGTTTTTATAATATTATGTAATTGCCCTTCCTATACATAACAAAAACCTGTGTGTTAGACAAGGTTGTCTATCTAGAGAAACAAAATCAGGACACTTACAATTATATAGCTATATAAAGCATGAAGAAATGAAGAGCTAATTAGTCCACAAAGCAGTACAGATGGCTCAGTTCAACTCATGAGGGCTACTGGGTGCAAGTCAAGGAAGCAGATAGCTGAGTCTTCTGTAGAGCAATACAGGCAGTCCGACCACAGGCAGCAAACAGCAGGGCAGGTCACCAACAGTCAACCAGATAACAGGGTCCAACAGTGCCCTGCTCAAATGATGTATACACCAGCAGTTAGAGAAGCATGTCTTGAAGGAACCTCAAACTATAGCAACATGGTCCACAGGTTGTGTGTCCCACAGGTAGTGTAGTTCACAAGTTGAGGAAGAGAACTAGCTAAGGTAGTCGCACACTGGTCCGATCATCAGAGAGCAAAAGACACAAAGAGCAAGGCTCACCAAGTCATTTATCTCTTTGCCCTTCAATTAAACTGCAACCTTATTAATCTTACATGTGTTTATTGGCCAGGTTGGCACAATAAACCTACCTATCACAACCTGCTATATAGAAAAAGAATTGTTTGTTAAAGTATAAGCATATCTTTGTTCAACATGTAAATTGTCTGAACCTTTAAAAATATTTTCAACATTATGTTCTACATCCTTATGTGTTGGCATAGGAAGTATATTTACAGAAATATTTTTATTATTATTCCTTCCTCTTCATTATTACAGAAAAAGTTAAAAGTTAGTGTGTTAGTCTAGGTAGACTAGAGAAACAAATCCATAGACACTTATGTTTATAAGAAAGAGCTTTATATAAAGAGTAATTGTGGAGGGAGGGGAAAAATGAGGACCTAATGTCGGGGGTTTAAATGGAGAGAAAATGTTTTGAGAAACGATGTACAAATGCGCTTTACACAATTGATGTGTGTATGGATTGGGATAACAGTTGTATGAGCCCCTAATAAAATGTTAAAAAAAAAAAAAGAAAACAAAAATCTTCACAACCAGACCAATAGGTAACATCATAATAAATGGAGAAAAGACGGAAGGAAGTTGTCAAGGATTTTCTTTTGCTCGGACCTACAATCAATGCTCATGGAAGCAGCAGTTGAGATCAAGCAACAAATTTCATTTGGTAAATCTGCTGCACAAGACCTCTTTACAGTGTAGAAGAGCAAGAATGTCGCTCTGAGGACCAAGGAGTGCCTGACCCAAGCTATGGTATTTTCAGTCATCTCATCTGCCCGTGAAAGTTAGACGTGGAATAAAGAAGGTAACAGAAACTGTGATGCGTTTGAACCATGCTGCTAGGAAAGAACACTGCGAGTGCCATGGACTGCCAACAAACCAATACACTGGTCTTGGAAGAAGCACAGCCAAATATGCCTTAGAAGTGAGGATGACAGAACTTTGTCTTCTGTACTGTACAAGTACAGAACGTGTCTGTACTTGAGACACGTTATCAGGAGCGGCCAGTCGCTGGGAAAGGATATTGTGTTTGGTAAAGTGGGAGGGCGATGAAAAAGAAGACCTTCAAAGAGATGGATTAACACAGAGGCTGCAGCAGTGGTCTCAAACAGAAGGACCATTGTGAGGGTGGTGCAGGACCGGGCAGTGTTGCGATGTTCGTTCTGTTGTGCATAGGTTTGCTATGAGGCTGAGTCTACTGGACTGTACCTAAAAACAGTTTTTCTTGCTGTTCTTCACAGTCCCTAATATTTTCTTCGCCAGTGTCTAATGTTTCATTAATTCCGTCTACTCTTTTTAACCTCAGATATTAATTTGCTTGATTTGGATTTTTTATCTCTATTTGGGTTTGGATCTTTTTTTAAAAACAATCTTCCAGGTCTCCATTTAATTTCTCAAGTGTTTCTTTACCTTATTGAACATATTAAACCTATTTATAATAAAAAAAAGAGTAATTGTACATTAAGAACACATCCCAGCCAAATCCAGATCGTCCATAATTCCTATATTAGCCCATATGTCCAATACAAATCTACAAAGCCTTCTTCAGATTCACGAAACACATGCAATAATGCCAAATGCAGGAAGATCACAGGCCAGTGGGTGGGAATTCTTGTGGATGCAGTGGCATTGTAAGCATCTCAACACTGGCAGGTGTCTCCACGTGGCTCCTGTAGCTCAGGGAAATAGCGCAGTTCCATGTGTCTTGTCAGGGAAATAGCGCAGTTCCATGTGTCTTGTCAGCTGCAATGTCTCCCAGGGAGTGAGCTGAGAGAGAGGTGTCTCCTGCCTCCAAGGAGGAATACCAGAATCCTCAGAAGAAGGCCATGCCCACACAGAGGCCTCACAGACTAGGACCTAATTGACAGACTAGACTCCACTCCTTCACTCTTAATCCTCTCAAATTGACAAATGATTATATAACTACCACAGTTAGTATAGTGTTTGTTTTGTTTTCTGTAAAGTATGGAAAATAACTCTTTGCGTTAAACTGTTTTTAAGAGCTTCTTAAACAATTATTAAAATTTAAAATAATTCTTCCTCTCAGTGTTCTAGTAGTGCCCCTCAAACTCTAATGTTCATGCAGACCATCAGGGGACCTTGTGAAAGAGTAGATTCTGATCTGGTGGGCCTGAGTGCTTTTCTTAAGAATGCTGATGCTATACTTACCTGGCAGGGGAGATACCATGATCACGAAGGTGGTTTTCCCAGGACGAGGCTTATCCATTGCACTCCGGATGTGCTGACCCCTGCGATTTCCCCAAATGTGGGAAACTCGACTGTATAATTTGTAGTAGTGGGGGACTGCGTTCGCGCTCTCCCCTGATTAAAAAAAAAAAAAAAAAAAGCTGATGCTGATGCTCCACAGATCACTGTGAAGAGCACACACCGTTCTGCAGGCTGATGGTGTATGTGGAATGCAAGGTATTGAAACATGACGGACAAATAATGAAGTTACATACAGCTGAGCTCTTCTTTGATTCTGTAATTAGAATCTCAAAGGAGTGATCTGTATTTCTCAAGTTCACTGGAGTTTCTGATCAGTGTTTTTCAATTCTAATGCATTTTGTTTAGTTCTTTTGACAGCATGTTTGTTTACCAGCAAAGAGGACTTGGACCAATTGAAGAAGACACTATTCTTGTCATAGATCCAAATAATGCTGCAGTACTCCAGTCAGGTGGCAAAAATCTGTGAGTTACTTTACTTATGTGTTATTAAGGCTTCTATTACTTTTATTGGGTATAAAGTGTATCATGGGTCTGTCTTGCAAAGACAGGGTTGTAGAGCAGTTGTAGAAAAGCCCGGCTCAAGAAAGTAGGAAAGTAACTCAATCGCCCTATCATTGCACCTGCTATGCAGCCTTCCTTATTCAAACCACTTGCTGTGAGTTGCCTGATGCGTACTCCTACAGCCCCATTGTGTCAGAGTGGGCCTATTCCACAGGGCTTTCAAAGCCTGGTTTTTCCGAGGTAGATTGCCAGGCATCTCTTCAAAGGTACCCAGAGCTATTCATATCAACTGCACCACCAAGAGACTCTATTTTTCATTTTCTAAATAGTTGTAAACCCTGACCGAGTATTACAAGCAGATGAGAAGCTTAAAATAATAATAACAAGATTTAGTTTTAAGGCTTCCCACTTGATTATAATATGTAATCAAGATTGAGAGAGCCATTGATAACAACCAGCTAATGAGATGATTTGCTAGTTAGCCAGATCCATGTTTTAAAAATGTCTTCATGAGAGATATTTCATAGCTAAACTCATCAAGTAATCACAGCTGAAAACAGCCTTCTCCTCCATCTCAAAATAGAAGCTTAGCAAATGCCATTTTTAAGCTTGCAATTTGGCTTTGAAAGCTGCTTGTTATTTGGTCTGATTCCTAGATAGTATTTGGCAGCAAAAAAAAAAAAAAAATCCAAAATGGACTGCTACTCATGGTCAATGAAAGACAGAAGCACCATCAACCAGGGCCATCTGTGTTCAATCCAGTTGTATATGGAGATGGTAATGAGCTTTTAATTTTTCAAATAGGTTTCCACAATGATGAGTTAGAGACCAAATTCTAATGCCAGTTCCCCCACTCAATGCACTTGAACTTCTTTTTTGTTCTCTATTCATTAATTTGTTCTCTATTCATTAATACCTTCATTCCCAAAAGATTTAATGAGGAAGACAGAACTGCTACTAATTCAACTTGACCATCAATGAGGTGTCTATGTATGTGGAAAGCAAATCATAGCTTTCATATTCTGTTATCAAGGCAGGGTTCAGATCAAGATCAAAGTAATACAACCCTGACTCATGATAAGATCTTTTGTGCTGATACCATACTCATGCTAGAAACCTACAAAAATAGCTTGTGGAGTGAAATGCCCTTACCAACACCATATTAAGATATTAACCTTATCAGTTCTTTAAGCCTAAGAGCCCCATCTACGTTAACTTACAGTTCTTTTACTCTGAACATTTGGATTGATTTAAGTAAATTGCCTTCTCTAATGATTGGGCAGCTTACCACTTCACTTTGCCTAGGTGAGCATGGTCCATTTTTGCTAAAATTTTGTTTTTATTTGGGTTTTACTGTCTTTAATAGGTACTCTGTAGGATTTTGAGTAATATGTTTAATACTTCATGTTAGCCTTGCATTGTCTTAAAACATATTTAAACTTTTAAGATGCCATAATTTCTAAAACTAGTTTAAGAAATATTTCCAATTCTATAAATATTTTTTATTTTTATATATTTTTATATTTTAATAAATATATTTTCTATATATTTATATTTT